GATGCGCACGTTGCCGTCCGCATTCTTCTTGTAGCCAAACGTGTACTCCTCTTTGGTCTTGCTTCCATCGGCGCAGCTAGTGAAATAATAGTTTCCCATAGCAATAGCAACCTCGCCCATCACGTTGATCTGGTGGTTGTCAAAGACCACTTCGGACCAGCCCTTGCCGCCGTTGATGGCAAAGCCTTGGCTTTGGCAATTCGCACGGTGTTTATGGACCATCAATGCTACATACGGGAGAACTTTGCTGGGTGAGGGGAGGGTATTCAGGGTACCCTAAGCCCTGAACGAGAGGGGTTCCAAACCCGTGGAGCCTGCGTCCTCCGCAATCCCTTCATCCACCGCATGGCTGCCCACAAAGTAGGACATGGCCTCTTAGGTGTGTGCAAGGTGTAGGTTTAGGGACTAGGGTTTAGGGTTCTTAGAATCCAACAATCTCATTCCCAGTCCTTATAAGCCCTACGTCATGCCTACCCTCGCCAAGCCCCAATATGGGAACATGCGCAACTTGCAGTTCCGGGCAAGGAGACCAGTGTAAGAGGAGAAAGTACAGAAGCGCGTATTATTATGAACGTGTGTGGAAAGCCCCAAACCTCAAACCACCCAAAACTCAAATCCCTAAACCCTAAACCCCAAACCTCAAACCCTAAACTGCAAACCCTCTGCCATCCCGAAATCCCGTGGCGGAAATCCGCCCTCATAGACCTTTGCTAGGAGTGGGGGCCGTGTAGACATTCCATTTGTATGGAATTCTTGTAATCAGTGTATAGGGCTCAAACCGGCCCCTGTCAAGAGGGACCCGCCCCCCTCGGAACCCAACCCAAACTTGATTTAGGGTTCAGGGACCCAAGCTCCATACATCCCTTCCTTTCGACGGCCCTCGATTGTTGGTGGAAAGTCTCTGAAGCATGCTAAAAAACACTACGTGTGACCCCTAAACCCGCTCAAAACCTTGAAGCCCCCTGAAAATTGAAAACCTCTAACACCCTTACAAAAGCCCTAAACCGTACATACCCCTACAAAGCACCTTTAAAAGGACCCTGAAATATATCCTCATGGACAAATACAACATCACATATCCCTATGAGCACCCAAGAAAACACCCTAAACTTTAAACTCCAACCCCAAACCCTTAACCCTTAAGCCTTGAGTCCCAAAACCCTAAACCCGTAACCCCTAAACCCTCAACCCTGAACCCCAAAACCCAAAATCCCTAAACCCTACACCCTGAACCCCAAAACCCCAAATCCCTAAACCCTGAACCCAAAAACCCTAATCCCGAAACCCTACACCCAAACCCTAAAGTCTAAACCCTCCAATGTAGTTCCTTTTTGGGTTTGGTATGGGTAAGGATTATTATTAGGACCCCCAAAAAGGTACTACATTGGAGGGTCTAGGTAAACTCTAAACCCAAAACCCTCAATGGCAATATAGGGAGCCTGGGATGCCATTGGACGGAACTGGCAATCCTTTGCCTGGGGGTGGGTTTAAGGGTCTAGGGATTAGGGTTTAGGGTCTGGGGTTTCAGGATTTTAGGGTTTTGAATTCTAGGGTGTAGGGTTTAGGATGTTAGGGTTTAAGGCTTACAATTTTAGGGTTTGGGGATTCTAGGGTTTAGGGATTCCAGAGCTTTAGGGTTTAGGGTCTAGAGTGGGAGGGGCGGTAGGGGAATCTCGATACAGGGTTTATAAGGCTTAGGGTTTGGGGTTTAGGGATTGGGGTTTAGGGGTTGGAGTTCAGGGATTGGGGGTTGAGGGTTTAGGGAATGCGGTTTCAGGGATTGAGCTTCAGGGATTGGAGTTATTTGGGGTTCAGGGTTGGGGAAGTAGGGATGAAGGTTTGGGGTCCACGGGAGCTCTCGCAGTGAGTCCCTTCACAAGGTTTTTTCAGGGATATGCAAGGGCCCTAAACCCCAAACCCCTAAATCCCTTAACCCTAAACCCAAGGGTTCAGGGCTTCGGGGTTCACAGGATGACGCGTCCTATGTAGATAGAATGGAGAATCAACTGGAAAAGGCACTTTCGACATGATTCGGATAGGGATTTTGGAGGTACATTACACTGTTCTTATACGAGGTTTGTCAGGCAAAGGTGTTGGTGAGTATTCAGGCTTCTGTACGATGAGGGGTTGAGCTCGAAGGCAACTACTGAGCACTAAACCCTGAACCCTAAACCTTGAACCTTTAATTCTAAACCTGTTCCCATACAACACCTTCTTTTCGGACCCCGATCCTTGGTGGGCTTGAAGAGCACGTTGGAGTGGCCGTAGCCGTAGAGCTCTCCGGCAGCTTCGCCTGCCACGGCGACGTAGTCGCCACCCTCAAGGTAGACCTGTTTGGGGGTTTGGGGGACCCTAAACCGTAAACAGGGTCTTGGAGCTAAATTTTGGGGTTTGATTAGGGTCTGAGGGCCTGAGGGCCTGAGGTTCAAGTAAGGGATTATAGGGTTTATGGTTTGTTGGGTTTAAACCTGTTTGGGAGTTAACAGGCAGGTTCAAGGCGTTTAGGGGTTGAAGGGGGTGCTGTATGTGGCATTTCCATGGAATGACCATTTAGGCTGTAGGGTTTATTAGGGTCGGCTTTTTCAAGAAACATGGCATGAAATAGCAAGTCTGTTTCCATACCTGAATTTTTCAATCCGAAGCGAGACCAAGTACAGGCTTGACGAAGCTTTTTTTGCTGCATGGTGGAGAGGAATTATATCACGTCTCAAGCACTTGGTAGCAATGTTCTCCAGGCTTACAGATTTGGGGCTTAAGAGTTTTGAGAGTTGTTGTTGAAGGTTCGGGGTGTATGGGTTAATGGGCTTATGAGTTTATAGGGCTTGTTACGGTTTAGACCTGTTCGAGGGCTTGAGATGTGATTTTAGGGTTTTTGGTGTGTTCGGGGAGGGACGTGCGTTTAGGGTTGTAGACAAGGCTCACAGGGTTGCCCGGTTAAGGGCTTAGGGCTTACCTGAACCCCAGAAGTATGTAGAATAATGGCCTTTTGGGCTAGATTTAGGGGTTTGGGGCTATTATCTTACCTACTTTTGGGGTCCTAAACCCTAAACCCTAAATCCTCGTTTAGCAGCTGAAGTGTAGGGCTTAAGGCTTGACCTTTCGAGTGGGGTTTAGAAATTATAGAGCCGCACTGTTCCAGGTGGACCAGTTTGGGTTAAGTTAAACCCTGAACCCTGGGTTTAGGGTTTAGGGTTTAGGGCCCCGAACCCTAAACCCCAACCCTAAACTTGCGGGTTCTTAGTAGGGAATACTAGAATAGGTTATATATGGGCTATATAGGGATCATATCCACTAAGATTCATCAAGTGAACAACAATTGAACATGGATGGCTTTCAGGCTTCCGGTTGGAGTTTAGGGGCTTCCTTTGTTTACAATCACCCCACCCCTCAACCTGACATCCTACCCAAAGGTGTACGGGACTTATGGGACTTATCTGGCCCCCAAACCCTAAACCCTAATTGAAGCCAACACCCAAATCAAATCCTAAACCCTAAACTCTTAATATAGGGAGAACGATCTGCAGTGAGAGTTGCGGGTAAGGTGTGCCCGCACGTAGCATCTCTTTAGGGGTTTCATGTTCGTTGCTGAGGATGTTTAGGTGGCTAGGCCCACAAACAAAGCCCATTGGCAAGCCTTAATTAAATCCGAGATGGTTTCTTAATCTAGGTTGCCGTACTTGAATTAAGTCACCATGATATGGATATATAGCAAATCATAAGTTTTCCTAATTATAGAGACTTGTTTACCAGCAACCCAGTTAATTTGTTTTCGGAGTCGTCCGGGGGCGGCTGACCAGCAAAGGGAAGATTCAAAGGCGCCCGGGTTTAGGGCTTAGGGCTTCTTAGCTTGGACCCTCAGGATTTTGAGATGAAACCATGGGCCCCTAGTATGGGCCCTTAACCCTGAGATCCTTATATACCTACTGTATATCCTATAGTGTACCTTGAAATGTCCCTAGAATGCCCCTGACAGGATTAAGGGTTCGTAGTAGGGGCCCATACTTCTAACCTTGGACCCTAAACCCTGAATCCTAAACCCTAAAGCCTTAGGATATGGAGTTGTCAAATACTATGGGCTCTAACTGGTTGAAATCAGCCTAGAGAAGCCTTCTAGGGCTCAGCATGCACGGTTCCCGGCGCGGGTAGAGCAATATTGGTAGGGGTTCTGATAAAGAAAAACTTCTTCCAGGTCCAGGGTTTAGGGTTCAGTGTTTAAATTAAGGTTTGAGGTTTAGGGTTCAGGGGGTTGGGTCTGGGGTTTAGGGTTTCAGGGTCCTTGCAAGGAAGTAGTGGTGATAATCTTCAAGACAAAGCTGAGACCATCAACCTAGAAGACTACTTGGAGGTTCATGGGAATTAATAACTACCCATAACTGGGCTTAAAACTCTACTTAGAACCCCCCTAAATGACCTTATAGGGGTTACCCCAATTATAAGTAGGGTTATAACCCCAGTTATAAATAGTTACTGAGTCCCATGAACCTCCAAGTATCGACCTCAACACTAAGCAAGCCCTGAACCATAATTAGCCCCTAATCCCTAAAGCCTAAATCCAGAACCCTAAGCCCTGAATCCCAAATTCTGAGCGCCAAACCCCAAATCCCTAAACCCCAAACCCCACATCCTGAACCCTAAAACCCCCGTTCCAAACCTTAATACACTCTGAACCTGAACTCCAGTATCCCTTCAAAATCCGGAAACCTAAACCCTAAACCAAAATCCTAAACCCTACATCCTAAACCCTAGAACCCCAAAAAAGTAAACCCTAAAGCCTACACCCTATATAAACCCTAAAACCCAAGCCTTGGAGATGTTCTTGATGGCGTCTGACCACGCCTTCTGCGCAGCGCGGACCTCGCTCTCAGAGACCTGCGCTGTTGAGGGTCTAGAGATCAGGGTTTCGAGGGTTTGGAGGGTGTAGGGTTTAGAATGTTTAGGGTTGAGTGCTTAGGGTTTACAGGGTGTAGGAATTAGGGTTTAAGGTTTAGAGGGTTTAGGGTTGAGGGCCTAGGGTTTAGAATGTTTAGGCTTGAGGGTTCTGGGTAGAGGGTTAGGGTTGAGAGGGGTACATTGTTGCTAAGAATTGAGGGTTTAGGGGTTAGGGTTTAGGGTTTGGGGGGGCTACATGATAGCTATTACTTGGAGGTCAGGGGGGCTTTGCAGGTATACCCTAGAATCCATATACAAAGACCAATTAACCCTCTTGTTTATTTAAGGCGTTTGGGGTTTTGGATAGGAGTTGTGGAAGGAGGTGTAATAGGTGTGCTATAGGGACAGGTACAGGGCTAGAGCGCCCAACAATGGAATTCAGGGTTTGGGCTTAGGGTTTAGTTGCAGAATTAGGTTTAGGACTTAGAAGTGGGCTTCAG